GTTTCCCTTCACCGTGTGTCTATATAATCATAGAGAGTACCTATATAATTATGTAACTCATGAAAACTCACATTGGTACTTGCCAGGTTTCGAACCCTTGCCAATCTCCGGGCCACCACGACCGTCTCAGTTCCTTTAATATTACTTTTTTTTTTATAAAATGAGCGTACCTTCCCTAGCGTTTCTCATTTTGTTGAATTATCACCATTTTCAGCTTGGCATGGGCAATGCTATCCATGGGCGGCGCAACACCAGGGGTGCCACAAGGGTCTTTTCTTTCTACTTGGAAATACCGTCAACTAAAGACCATTCATCAGTTTTGGTGTGCGAGGCCAATAACGGTTATACGGTCTGTAATCGTTGTCGCAGCCAGGACTCCATAAGCTGATCTCCTAACTTCATTACAAAATCACGCCGACTCATTGTTTTTTTATGATTTCTCACATTGTTTGATACGTAAATAGCATAAGCATTTATTGCAGCTAGATTAAGCATGTTATAGAAGATACACATAGGCCATCTCATGGTTTTACGGTTTGTGCTCATATTTGAACACATTTGGTCAACAGTATCCACTGCCCCTTTTGTGCCATTATAAAAATGAATTATTTCTGGTTTTCCGGTTGTTTCGTTAATGGTAGGTTGATCATGAATGGTTGACAATAGAAAAACCATTTTGTTGGACTTGGCTTTGAACGAAACTAGTGTCTTGTCACCATCGTAGCAAAACATCGAAGTACCGATAGACCGAGATTTGGAATTTTTAATGTTTTTCGGAATTTCACGTTTATTGCTTCTCAATGTTCCCACTAAAGTCAAGTTATACGGTGAAACCAGCAACTCATCAGCCAGAGGTACAGACGTGAACCAGTTGTCCATGGTAATGTTACGATTGGAGCCATGAAGAGGGGCAGTTACTTCTTTTATAAAAAATGAAGCCAATGGTTGCTTCTGCGGATCAGTTCCTTTTCCTAGGTATGGAATGCAATTTATGATGTATTTACTATTAACGTCAGCATCCATAACAAGTTTTATCCCATATTTGTTAGGTTTGTTTGGGATATACATTCTAAAAGGACACCTTCCGCGAAACCCAACAAGCTGTTCGTCCACGGTTATGTTTGACCCCGGTGTGTACCACTTTTGAAAATTATCAATCAATTTTTGCCACAGTTCTCGTATATGTGTAAACTTGTCGACAAATTTTCTTTCATCTCTTGTTTGTTTGTCGTCAAAACGAAGACATTTTATTAGAAAATTGAATCTTTCAGCGCTCATACAGGCCTTGAAAATAGTTCCCGATCTCTGTGTATTGAAAAACATACGAGTCGGCAAGTGATTGCTTTTTACAGCCGCTGAAATAAAAAGTAAACCAAGTAGAGCTCTTATTTCTTTAAAATCAGTCTGTGATATGGTGTACGAATCATTTTTATATTTATTTTTTCGAATAAGTATCTCTGCGTTAGTAAACGTAACAATCTGTTGCAGCATTTCATCAGTAATAAAGAGAGAAAATAAATTTATTGGGTCAACTGATTCCCTGGCTTCTGCTTTTGGTCCCGGTATGAAATGAACTATGTTTCGCCTCAAAGTACGTGTCGTAGCTGGCCTAGGTTGAGTAGACCATTTATGTTTATTTTTTCCATGCACAAAACGAGAAGTCGGCTGAACAATACGGGGATCGGTATTTTGATTTGAGATACTTGGTCTAGGTACCGTAATATTTTCCGAAGAAGAATCATCGGAATCTATTACTTGGGTTCTTTGTCTCTTACTTGGCTGTACATTTATATCACTATCAGACTCCGAGGACTGAAGACTGCAAGAATCGGAACTTGTGTTTTCATGAACTTCTGTCTCTAAAATATCTTCCGTTTCTGAAGCCGAGTTGTCAGATAGCTCTTCCTCTTGGTTTTCTGATTCTGCCTCTAACCAACGGGAAATTTGCTCTTCTTGATTCTTCAAATCCATCTATAATAGAAACACATCGAATAAATAAAGTATCATAAACAAACAAAGAAAAAACCCACAGTTTTGTAGAATTTCCTAGTTATCAACAAAAATAATAATACAAATAATAATTAGAAGTAACACTTTACTTATATATTAGTAAATAAAACAATAGAAAATAGATATGCAACCCACAAAAGGAAAAAAAAATTGAATATGTTTACTACATACCTCGAAAATAAAAGTGTCGATATAACTAAACGTTCGTCGAGCGGGCGACGGGATGGTCCTAGATCACAATCTATTATGCGTGTGGCCACAACCGCGTCACACGATGCACTGTTTGCGTAATTAGGAAGGTACACGAAGGGTCAAGGTCGCGGGGCGGGGCGGTGTAGGTGATTTTGAATTTCGCCGTATAGCGCGTAGTCGCCTCGACGAGCTATTAGTTATTTAGGGTTAATATAATAACAGGTACTGCAGAATGGCAATTTCATAGGTAAAGACCTATTATTAGGTTTTATTTCAAGAGGGTGACCCTTGTTATAAGATAATGATGAATCTAATGATTCTTAATTTTCGTATTCAGAATGAAGTGTTGCTTTATCCAGTTCAGTTTACGATTAATAAACAATACAAAAATGGCATTTAAAGAAAAAAATATTAAAATATATTGTATCATCAAGGGTGACAAACACCCGCTAGTGTCGATGACACATTCAACCAATTTTTCATTTTTTATTAGCAAAAGATTAATGAAATTACTTGAAAGTTGATTAAGAACAAACTTCTTTGAAGACGCTTCAGATGACTAATTTGCTGTAAATCTAAGCGTCAAACTTATATTTCATGTTTTTTCTTACTAATCCTAACTAATGTTATAAATACAAAAACACATTTATCTTTTGTTCACATCGCAACTGAATATTATTATTATCTAGGTACCTATTTGAGTCTGCTATAATTTATTATATTTTTAAACACCTACACACATAACATATTATTATATTATTTTAATACCGGCCATCTGTTTATAACCGTCACCTTCACGCACTTACATCTTACATTGATCTTTTTTTTTTGGGAAGTGATATCCAAGACATTACTTCTCTCGGCCAGGGTAATGCGAGAATGAGTGTCTCTTACGGCCTAAAACCTCCCCCGTTCCTTCTCCTGCTCCAGGCCGAGTCAGCGATACCCTATTGCGCTTGCTTACAACCTTGGTTGAACATCAGTCCTATTGATCGCTTATGCGTCCATTTACATCATCTTCTAAGTGCAGAATCCCATATAAAAGTTTAGTTTATTTTTAAATTAATTATTTCTTTTAGTTTATTTGATGTTATTATGATATGTTTGTATTTATTGGTCTTCTTAAGTGTGCGCTGTGTCTTAAGTGTGAGTAAATTAATTATTTTTACATTTAATTAATGTATGCTGTTATCAATAAATATGTATGTATGTAATGTGTAGGTATAGGTACGTATGTTTATGAAAAATAATCTTACAAATAAATTTTAAAGCAGATATTTAAAGATGAAGCTGAAAATTCTAAACCTCTTTAGTTTGCATGACCATAGAAGATACGTCGAATGACTTACCCTTCTAATGATTCGCGTGGCTTAATAAAATACATTGTTTTTAAAAAGGACTTTTGTCAACACTACACCAACATTTCATTTTTATCTGTTAAAATAAACTCATATACTTCACTAAGCCACTCCTAACTACCTAGCCAGTCCACTAAGCAACCATTTGCCACAAACAAGTTACTATTTCAAGTATATCTTATAGTTTTCCTCGTCCGTATATCCACAAAACACTATCCCATCTCTTTTATCTAACTTCCAAACGGATTGATTTATAGAGGTACGTTTTATTGTGGCTTATCCTTCTTTATCCCGTAATTAAGTCCGAATTTAACCGAAATCTCAGTACAATCGAGTCAACCAGCCTTTTATACAGGATTGTAACGGGTCCATGTATGAAAACGTACAGTAAAATCATTGTGGTTGAACAAAATATGATTTTACTGTACGTTTTTTATACTTTGTTAATCGTATCGAATTGTTACGATACTGCATTTATAATTAATTGTAAAATTCACATAAAAGTTAATAAATGAGGAAAAACAGTATGAAGAAACTAATGGTGTTTTTTCATACTGTTATTCCTTATTATTTTTTCGTAATCCAATGATCAGAAGCAGGATGGAAATATTATGTTTCTAAAAAATTAAGTCAAGTCAAATTAATCAATTGCAAATATAATTTGAATAATCAACATATCCGGAATTTCTAACCGAAAATCAAAATACCATTCGAAATCAACAAAGCGCTATTTACGTAGTTTTGTTTGCAACAATTTGAACAGCTTCAAAAATCAAACAATAAGAAGCAACAAACAATTTTACTTCTACATTAAATTACACAAAAACCAATGTAAAGTAGGTACTTACTTTCACCGAAATTCTCCAACATAACTTTTATTATCATCTAAATTCCAAGTTTAATGGTTCTTAAATCGGAAATACCTGTTAATTAACAAGAGAAAACTCTTTGTTTTCTTCCTGAATATTAACAATTAAATAATAAGTTAAGAACGATACTAGAAACAGTCTAATAAATAATTTTATTTTTAAGAAATTGTACAAAATTGACCAGATTGTTTGTATCTGTTTGAGGTGTTTTTCCTTATAAAATGTAGAACCCACAAAAATAAAAGTTGTTAATTGGAACCTCATATTCGATAATTAATTTGAATTTTTCGATTGTTTATTCCATGATGAATAAGTTAAAAATGATGGTTATAATTAATTATATCATTGTAAACAACACGTATTTTCCAGTGGCGTATTATATTGTTATATTGATCTTAGTGACAAAAATGATTTTCTAGAATTTTGTCAAGATTGGGTGCAAATTAAACCACATTGAGTGGAACGATAAATGGAAGCCTATGTGCAAATTGGCCCAGGAATAATCGATTAGAGGATTATGGGCACAGACTGATTTAATTCTCTTTTGTTTCAGGGGTGGTGTTAGCCTAAGATGGTGTTGGCGCTGGTGGTCGGAGTGTTGTGCGTGTGGGGCCGCCTGAGCGACGCGAACCCAGAAGCGAAGCGGCTATATGACGATCTGCTTTCCAACTACAACCGCCTCATCCGGCCCGTTGGCAACAATTCTGATCGACTCACTGTCAAGATGGGACTAAGGCTCAGTCAGCTCATCGACGTTGTGAGTACCCTATATGCTATTTTAACTCTTATACTCGTGACATTTTTGCATGGTCAACTAAAATAGTATTTGAATTTGGCTATTGTGGACATATGAAGGTCTGGCTAGTTCTTATTCTTAAGTGATAATGTTGAAAAAGTCTTTGGAAAACTCAAGAAAAAAACAACTTAACAGAGAACAAAGTTTTATTAATATTTTCAACGCCATGGGAAATAGATATGTGGGCCAACTGAATACGCCTCAACAGAATTCTGTTATCAATCAGAGTAAAATTACAATTTATTTATTTACATAATTATACATCATTTTTATCCTCCACTTAAAATTGGAAATTAAACTAAAATCTCTTTAATAAAACTGAATCCATTTGAAATTAATTTAATTTATAATTCGTCCACGTTTCCCGTAGTAAATTATTTCGAAATGAGATAGCAGGCTTATCCGGGCATGCTCATCAAATCCTTTCATTAAAAACCGGCTTAGTTACACTATCGTATCGTTCCAATCCAACTGTTATTCTGTATAGAGGACCTGACTATATTCTCTGTGTAATTTTGAACTAAAATTGTTTTTGTAACAGACTTACAAATGCGATCAATTCTTTTATTTATTTCATTTCAAACGAAAATTTATTATTTGAATTTGGAACCTAACTTTACAATAAAAATAAAAAGTCGTAGGTGATTTTTTATTTTTATTATAAAGTTAAGTTCCAAATTCAAATAATTATGACATTTTTTTTAATTCTTTTGCCAAGAACAGTATAAATAAGTTTAAAGTATTAAAAAGGTTTCGTACATATTTAGGACATTGGTATATTGGTCTAATTAGGGCTGCCTATAGACATATAGCGATATATGCTATAAGGAATACATCGCAATCCCATTATCAGTTTTATGCTTATAAACTTTACTGGGTAGCATATATACATGTTCTTCTTCTACTTTCTATTTACGCTATACCGACCTTTTTTCGCTCATTTCTCTTCTTGACGCCAAGCTGGCTGACTGGTATGGAATGTCATTGGCAATGAATCCGTTATAATTATGTTCCAGTATTTTCAAATTTGTGATACGTGAGTTTTAACAGAAAAAGATCTTGATATGGATTCGCTTAAAAATGTACTTTAGAATTATTATTTTATTTTTCAACCAAAAACATAGGACTTACATTGTAGATGCTCTTCTCAAAGTGGTACATACATTGTAAATTGCATCAAAATATTTCCCCATATCGGAAAATGTTTGGCGACAGATTTTCATTTAGTTTCGTAACTTTTACTCGTAGAACGCTAAAAAGTTCGGCGGACGAACTAGTTCGTTGAAATTCTGCTTATTTTGGTTTTTGAATTTTAACAAACAGGTATTAAATTTTCACGGTTGGCAATTTCCGAGTTGATAGTTTTCGTTTTTCTCCTAGCTGTCGGCTCTTTGATACGGATTTTTTGGTTCAGCATCAGTTACAGACAACAACTTTTTAGACGCTTTTGTTGTGAAATTTTACATTCAGTTTTAACTTATAATAAAACTGTTCTTACATTGTTTGATACTAAAAGGTTTGTTTATTATTCTATAAAGTTTGTTTCAAAGCACTAATCATCGGAACTGAAAAAAAAAATTGTTCAAATTGGTCTTTTTTTTTTGTTGGTCCGTTTGCAGATTATTGTTATCGGCTATAAAAAAAACAACACGCTACGCTCTGTATGGGTCGAGCAGCTTTATATTATATTTTTGGGATACTATTTCTTCGTTAATAATAAAAAAAAATCATATACAAATCCAAATTCAGTGTAACGTATATTAAACATAAACATAGTCATATACGCACTAAGTACGAGTATCTTACGAGTCTTATTATAAGTATAATTTTCCAATACCGATAACCCATTACAAATTTACCTAACTAATCAGCTTCAAATACAGAGCAAATGTCCAACAAGAGTAAATAAATAATTAGTCAATCTAACCCTAAAACTAACATTCCAATCAGTTTCCTAAACAATCAATGCAAGCCAAAAACCACTTTAATCCTAATAAATTTAGAATAACATATTCTATTCCAACAATATCGCGATTCTATCAAACAGATTCTATTTAAGTTGGCTGTTGACATGGACAGAACTCATTTAACTAAGCCACAGCAGAATGGAGTGCGGCCATCGATTTATTTATTGTTATTATATAAATGGAGAGTGCAAAACTTTGTGTACGTAGTCGCACGTGTATTGTTGCGGACTCAGTTCGTGATTTTGAGTTGTAATGTCGGCTCTGTTGTTACTGTTGATTTTGTTGTCGTATCTAGTGGTGTAGATCTTTGTTTAATAGGTTGAAAAAAAAGAATGATTTTTTTTTATCACCGTCATATTTTGACCACATGGAAATTATCGTCATTAGTATAGTTTATATTGTAACTAAACAGTTAAAATTTGTTTCATATTTATTTGTCTCTGACATTTTATGAGATTTACCTTGTGCCATCTAGTGCCTGCTTTTGCAAGTTGATTATAATTGTCAAAAAAATAACATTGTAGATGCTAATATCTAACCCTCATTAATGTGATTTTATATAAAATCAATAAATCTACGCCTAATAAATACTGATATAAAACTTATCTGTATAGACACTAGGTTGAGATTCCGTAAGCATAATAAATATACAATTGATGTTTTCACACGTTTAGTATTGTTTTCCATAGAGTTGCATCATCTACTAACATCAAAGCCATATCTATCAGTATTGTATGACACCCTGATATGAAGTCAACTGGAGTGTAATTCAGCGATATGGCCTCCACACGAGGCTAAACATGGCCGCACATTGGATATCATTACATAGTATAAAACAAAGTCGCATTTTCTGTCCCTACATCACTAAATCTCTATGTACTAGCTAAAATCTCTAAAACTACGCAACGGATTTTGATGCGTTTTTTTAATAGATAAGTTGTGAATGAAGAATGAAGAGAAAGGTTTATAGGTATGTATAATATCTATTAACGTCTATTAAATAGTGAAAAAGTTTTGATAGGCGAAGCCGAGTGTGTCACTAGTGCAAAATAAAAACTAATGTATTAAGCATAAAACTTCAAGAAGGAGTTACATATTTACAACTGATAATTACGCGGTTATTAACGCAAAAAAGAATTATTTAAATACCTTGGTAGGCTTGACGTTTCGACCCGGTTGCACAGGTCGTGGTTGCAGCTGAACAGACTGACAGTCTACTTGCGAGCATATTCTTTTTATCTTTCGCATTTGTAAGGCAGGTCATATTAATTACGTATATCTTATCACACACAAAAAAAAAACAAATAAATTGGGACAACAATTTATTACAGAGTAATCTTTGGAAGTATTATGAAAAATATTATTATGTTTGTTTAGATTCTCACAAGACCTCTACTCAAGTTTCATTTCGGGTAAACTTCGAGAATCAAATAGAAACAAAATCTTTTTTATTTGAAGTGTATCGAGTAAGATTATAAGGAGAAAAGTTGTTACTGAGTTTTACTCGGTAATATTACGTTTTCATAAGATTATGTCAGCATTTTCTGTTTTGATGTGGGAAAATCATCAGGTGAGTTCTCCTGCCCTAAATGGGGCGAGAAGGAGTATCAGACTCTTACTGACTAAAAACCAATTCATTCGTTCTCCCCGGTATAAATTGTCAGTATTTAAGACATATTTTTTTTATGTACTTGGTCGGCAAACGAGCAGACGGATTACCTGATGGTAAGCAATCAGCGCCGCCCATGGATACCGAGTTACGAGCGCGTTGCCGACCTTTAGGGATGAGGGATTTGGAGATTTAGGGATTGAGGAGGGATTGGGGGCGGGGAAGGATTGGGCCTAACTGTAACCTCACTCACACGGCGAAACACAACGCAGTGGTTATTTCACGCCGGTTTTCTGTGAGGCCGTGATATCACTCCGGTCGAACCGACCCATTCGTGCCGAAGCATGGCTCTCCCACACTTAACTTACTGCAAAAACTCTTTATTTCGATTACTGTTTCTTAGAAGGACATAGTATTTTTATAGAATGTAAATGTTTGTAAATTATAATTCAAGTCATAACGCTGTGTTTGTCATTGCGTGAGTTAGGTTACTGGAGGCCCAAACTCTCCTCCTCCCCACTTCCTTCCCAATCCTTAAATATCCGAAACCCTTATCCATAAAAGTCCAGCAACGCACTTGTCACTTCTTCGGGGTTGGGTGTCCATGTGTGAAGCCGATTGCTTATCATCAGGTACTCGCTTCTTTGCCTCCTATACCACAAAAAAAAAACGATTGACAGAAAACAGTCCATTGAAAGGTTTGCCAAAAGCTTCTTGAATGGCTGGCTGGTTTAAAAGTTCAGGTGTTCGTAAAATGCATGTAGCACGCTGGAAGAATAGGAAGAAAGGTGAGGGTTAGGCAAAGTTATTCACTATTCGCCTGGCACTAATAATTGGCCGGCTTCATCTAGTTTTTCACATATAAATTGACGTGTAAAAGTGCCGTGTTATGGCCTATTTGCAAAATAAATTCATTGTTTCATTGATAAATTTTGTGAAAAACTAATCAAAACGAATTTTTGTCGTGATACAAAAACTAAAAAATGTAACCTTTGCACATACCTATAAAATATACAAAACTGCAACCTCTTAAAAACAGAGCACTGCACATAAAAGCGATTTTATTTTTTATAAAAACAACAATCTTCAACTGCATTTGCTCTTTAGGCATAGAGATGGCATTCCCTTTTCAAACAAGCCTTTACACTGATTGGCTCTTTCTTTTAAAGGTATAGGTCTGATTGGTCGGTTTGTACATCGAACGTTCTAGAATGTAGTTTGAATTTTTAACGTTTAACGGAATTTTATGATTACGTAAAAGAATTCGTTTGCGATCTTTGCAAATAAAAATGTTTTCTTCTCTGCTTAGAAATGTGTTCATAAAATAATGAAATTAAAATACTTTGAATGTTTCTTGAGAGTTTATAGCCAGAAGTGAAATGTAT